TTAACTGTGAGCTTAATCATCACAGTAGTATTGTTACTATTTATCACCATATTGAAATTCTTTAAAAGAATAAAATGTATAGTTGGCCAAGTATTTCCTTCGTTTGTTTTTATGTAAAGAAAAGTTTAATTTCATACATGGCTGAACATCAGAAGGACATCTTTAAAGCAAATTCTTGAAACAATCTGGAAAATGCCAACTTAATTTTATACACTACGACTTTTTTCTTTGTAATGGAATGTACAATACTTTTTGAAAATCTGTTTTTACATTCATTCTTTATAGAATGTAATATATGTATTTTACTTTTTTAAGATCCAAAAACAATTTGTGCCACGTGATTTCCTATAGCGTAAAAACTAAAAGCATCATTTTCTTATTACTCTCTGTATTTAAGTGATTCAGTAATGTGTTTATACTGCACAACACGCTGTATTTAAGACACTTGCATGTGAAATTTGATATTGTAAATGGGATTGATCACACTTCACCATTTATTTGCATGTTCAATGAGATAAAAGTTCTTGTTTTACTCCTTGTTGATGCTGTCAATCTTTTTAATTGAGCTTATTAAAAATAAGCATTTTAATTATTTTTATATGTATATAAGGAATGATTTTAATGGAAGTAGGATATAATATAAATTCCTAATAGTTAACGTTTTATAAAATGTTACACTATTTCCAACTTGAAATGTAGGCTAAAGTTGTAACTTTAGTTAGCTTCAAGCCCTTCTTCAAACACCTTTAAAGTTATAATTGTCTACTTGAATATTTTTATTTTTTTTAAAACTTGAAAACAATGAAAAAAAAACTTTCTTATCAGTAAATCGCCGAACAAATGTACTGGTATAATTTAAACGGTTATTTATACTGTTAATCACTATAAAAATACAGTTAAATAATATTATAAGATATCATAAGTTATCTTAAGAAGTGTTTTATATGTGCATGTAAAAGGCACAGTTTTTCAAGTCTGTGAAATTTCTTTGTATTGCTCAGATAATAAATATGATCTTGTTGACTAAATGAATGCTTGATTTCAAACACAATATAAAGGGTTGTGTAGCATTTAAAAATTTGTTCGATGTTGAATTTTAGATGTTTAGACTAGACGTTTCACATAGTAGCCTGAATTTGGTGGTAATTTTATGAGATTTAATTATAAAAAGCTCATATGGAATAGCCTCTGTTTTCATCCATTCCAGTCATTGTAAAATTTCAAAGAATAGACTTTAGATACTTTAGAGTAATCTTGGATAGACATAATCTTACTAGTGGATTGGGTTCGTAATAGTGTAGTTATACAAATAATTGTATAGGAAATTCACTAACCATCATCCGATGGTTATAGTTTCAGAGTACCCACTCAACCTTGAAAACCTCAAATCTGTGAATTTGGTCAACCGTTAAAAACACCTGGATTGAGCTATTGATTTTAAATTAACAAATTTCTATCCTTGATTCTTCAAAACCCGATTGAGCAGTTTCCTATACTGATTCCAGAATCACGTGCAATCATGGAAATATCGTGAATTTTAAATCAAAAATTTTGCAGCTTTAAAATGTTGTCTTCAAAGTCCTTTTGGAAAATATTCAGTTAAATTTTAAACGCATGGATAGTTAATGTTTGAAATTTGAATAAATAATACTTATGGATAAATTGTACATTAACCTTGTCAAAATTGTGATGTAATAGTGTATAACTCATGGCTGGAAAGTAGGTGTTTACAGTTCGAGCATGGCTTATCAAGCGCAAGGATATCATGCTACTCTTATCAACTTCACAAAAAATATGTAAATATAACCTTGAAAAACCCCGAAGAAATGGAGAATTTAATTTTCAAGTTTGAGTGGAAACCCTGGGTTTGAAATTAGATCTTAAATTGTAATGTAAGACTGAACTTTGTGACTTTGCTGCCCACCTCTTTGTCTAGTTGATTTCCTTTCTCAAATGTTTGAATTGATGTTACTTTTAGTAGAAGTACTTATTTTTTAACATATGTACACATCTGTACTTTAAAATGTAGACGTGATGAGCACTTTGGCCCGTTTTCCCACATTCTGATAGTGTTCAGTGTCTTATCAGTGCCTATCGAATCTGTACATTGTATAAGACATGTATTTTATCTTTATCTCAATTTCACCGTCTCTCATAACATATCAAAGCTTTACTCAAGCCTTTTTTTATAACCACAATAAGTAATATTGTTTCTTGTTAAAATTACAAAATTTCTTGCTACAAACGTGGGATATTTTGAGTGGCGGACAATAATCCTATATTTGTTTCTATTCGCCTTCAATGAACTACAATAACTTTCTATGGTTCGCTAAGAAATGTTCTAGTCAGTTTGACAATACATAATTTCTTAGAAAATAGGTTCTTTCAAGAGTATTTTGGATTAAAAAGTTAAAGTTACTAATATTTTACTCCCCAAGAGTCTAAATTTATGTTGTGAACAATAATAAGTTTTTTATGTAGTCTATTCCTGAAAATGTATTAAAAACTTTAACTGAAGTATGCATGTATTTAAGCATCATTACAACCATCATTATCGGGGATGTTTTGAACTATATTTGTGTACTTAATTAAGGCAAGACAATGTTAAATATTATCAATTGAGGTGCCTCAAGAATGCCTTTTAATATTGTGCCTATCTTATTTAATGTTATCTAGTCGTGTGTAAATAGCTGTACCGTTATTTATTAAGTGTTTGCTGAAATTTTCTCACTGTGCCTTCCTATCAGTATTTACATTTTTATGTGCTGATTTGTTGTTTGGATTTGTTCTTAAAAATATTATTGCACATTCCTGTAGACGTACAATAGTGTAAAAATGTTAATTTGTGATTTGAAATCTGAACAAATATTATGAACTTTTTTAAGTACTCACATCTTTAAGTATTCACTTTTTCTATGAAAATTACTCATATTTACTAATACTATACTTAAAGGATTATATATATTTTATCATATACAAGCTCAATTTTAATGTAATTTATGAACAAAGGTTTCTTTTACACAAAAATACAACATACTCGTCCATCATATATATTTCATGTCACAATTCTTGTTTGCGTTAACATTTGGGCTTAGCAGGGCTCTAGTAGTCGACTAATTTTACTATCCATAATTATACAAAAATAAAGTGTTCAATTAAATTATACTTGAAACCGTAACCAATTTATTTCTTAACGGATTTACAGTAATTTGTGTGTATCCTGGAAGCCTATAATTGAGTACAAAAACAGAAAAAATCTAAAACTACACTTATGATTTTTTGTGACAATAGCAGGCTTATCTGAACTTGCACAAGAAACACAAAACCATATTCTGAACACAATGTTTTTTTTTTGTGTTGTGTTTCTTGTGCCAGTTTTTAATCTACCATTCAGGTAAGCCTGCTATCCTCAATAAAAATCCTAAAAACCTAAGCCCTTTTGCTCTATGTTACATTCTCAAACTACAATTAGCTTATATTGATATTACAATTTCAAATCGTGTTTTATTTGTGTATTATATTAATTGTATGAATTAATATTAGGCCCAATCAACATGCTCATTATTTTAAATACTGTTAAGTATCAGTTCATCAGAACAGTTTTTAAGCTTTTCTTATATTAAATTACATTTACATTTTTGAATATCTAAGTGTTATTTTGTTAAACTATTATATTTTGCTTGGTGTTTATACTTTGAAGATCGGAAATACAACATTTAACGATAACAAACATTTACCTGCAAAAGAAGTGTTTTAATTCTTTATTAAATAAGTATTCAATACTCAATTATTTTAAATATTTTATTATTCTTAGAATTAAAACCTATTTTCATAATTGGATGAAAATTTAGAATTCTTTGCCTTATACAATTTTTGCAATAATCGCTGTACATGAAATCAAACACATTGTAAATAAAATTAGTTAAGCGTTTAATAAATCTTCATTATTTCTCCTATTTCTCAAGGTTGGTTTGTCAGTTAGCTGAAGACCTTAAAGTTTATCGTAAAAGAAGCCTATGAAACCTTAGATCTCAATTTGACAATGGCAGAGTCCAATTACTGTATATGCTTTATTCAATTTATCGTATTGACAATTAACTACTCAGATTCATTTGAATTTAAACCATCCTACTTTCCCTATTATTTTACCAGAATTGCCTAGCTTACTTTCTGTATTAGCACGGACAAGGGAATAAGTACAGATCTGTTCTTAATTCAATTAATAAAAAAAAATAATTAAAGCAAAACATATCTGAAAACCCCACTGCAGCAAACCTGCAGATTAAGTTAATTTCTGTTTGCCTGATCGGATTTTCACTAACATATTTCCTTCATGTCAGGTTTATTCCTGTATATATAACACCAGATTTAATGAGTATACTTAGGTTTGCTGCCACTATGAATAGCTAGCGTAAAGTGTGTTTTGGTAGCAACAAGTTTATAGCTTGGTATGAAATAAATTTACCAAATGTGATCAAATTATATGTTCCAAAACTAGCCAACCAGACCATATCACTTATTCTTATTCTCCATAGAAATTACTTGTGAATTATAAATTAACAACTTTTTAAATTTTCTCTGTAACATTTGTTTTACCACAAGGCTTTATTAAGCATATAATTTTTTCTATCTATAGCCTACAATAGTTATTTGTGTAACTAGTAGGCGAAGTGGCACTTTTCTGCACATGAGAGAAATGTTTCTTGAGTGCAGCAAAGGCAGTTTGCACTTGTGTCGTTTCACACATTATATTTTAAATAAATAATTAGTCTTTCAAACACTGTACAACACATTTTTTTGTTAGGTTAAATTCAAACATTGAACGAAATGGGAAACACTGCACCAGCTCGTAGTCGTAATATCTTTGTGTTGCCAACTTATTTAAGTAAAGCGGTCCCCGGTCAATGTCCTGCTGTGAGACCTACAATAAAAGCCTATATGGGCAATTTGCTAAAAAAACACAATCAAATGAAGACAAGGACAAGGCGAACACAATAAGGTTGTTTAGGATGTAGCATGGTTTTATTCACAAAATATCACAAAACTAATTCATATCACGATATAGAGTTGTATAAAAGCTGTGTAGGGTAGGTCAAGCAAGGCAAGAGCTTGAATCAATCTTTATGATCCAATCAAACAATCTTCATAATTAATTTACAATGGTCCTTTGGGTTTTAATTGAGATTCTGTTTCTAACCACATCACATAAGCAAAAAAGGTATGATTGATACAAACCATTAAATAAAAAAAGTTGTGCCTAAAGTACAGAGATCAGCCCACCAAGTTTTTAATCTTTATAAATATGCCTTGTACTTTTCAAGAGATATTTTCTTACAATCTACACTTAATAAAAATATCTTTCATACTGTATAACAACCCTTTTAGTTATTTTTTTTTTACCCACAATTCAAATGTGTTTACCTTAGCACCTTGCCTTGCTTTTAGAAAAGGACCATTATGATTTGGCATTTTTGTATCACTTTGAATTCAACTATAATCCACGACACATACAAAATTGCGTTGTAGAAACTTGAAAGTTTTAAATGTCCAAACAGAATGGCCCTTTCACAATCATTTATAACAAGGAATATTTACATTGAAGAGGTCTCATGAAGCTACAGCCCCTACTTGTAGAATGGGAACCAACAGTTGGCAAGCATTCTTTATGTATGAACAGCTGTTTGATGCCTGAAAAATGTAACATTCTTTAGTAAGTAATACAACACAGCCGCTATTAGACAAAACTCAATAAAAACCAATAACCATTTCTATATTATTTGGGTAATAAATACATATGACACTGCATCAAAGAAGTTCATGTTTACCTTTCCGAATAATTAAGTGCCATGTAAATTATTATTAATGTTCATGGCTTCGTGGTAACTTTGTGGAGAGCTCCTGAAGAAACTCATGTGCCATTTTAAACACACAAACTCGGATACCATGTGATGGTAGAAACTATAGGTTTTCACTTTCAAAGTGATTATAAAAATTTGCTTTTGTTCAGATATTGCAATGGCCATTGACAACATTTGTATACTTTATGTAATTTTAATGCCCAATTTGATTTGAAAATTAAAATCCAATTTGATGTGACAAATTACATAATGAATATTAATTTTGCTGCGATCGCAAACGACAATGAGGACGTTTCCGAGACCGTGGGAGATGATGGTGACGTTTCCGTGACCTTGGGAGACGACGATGAAGTTTCCGTGACCGCGGGAGACGGTGAAGATGTCTACACGGCCATAGATAATGTTTTTGCCATGAACGCGGAAGACGATGATATTGTCTAAACGGCCGTGGAAGATTTTCATGACCCAAAAAAACTCAAATTGGCTAGTTGAAATTCTTCATTGCTGCATAGTTTTCTTTACTTGAAAAACACCCCATCATATTAAAATTATTTTATGACATAAAGACAGGGGTTAGTGTAGTATAACCAAATTATTTAGAAACTTTGTTTAAACTATGAAAATTGGTATCGGTGTCAAGAATCGAGAATTTATATATTTTGGTATTGACACATCAATTGTTAAAAAAACTAGTCTTGAAAAGCCTGGTATTTAGTCTTGAATTTTACAATTAAAATAAACTAGACACTCTGATGCAACTTACCTCAAGGAATATATTGGTGATCAACGAGCTGTTGGCGATTGGGTCATTTTTGGTCAAAAGTTGTGTGAAGTCATTGGCCACAGCCGAGACCCTGGCACACATGTGCTTGGTTAATCTGGAACAAAATCAATATTTGAATGTGAATACTATTAACAGTGGAGCCTTGATTGCATGAATATGGAAGGTAACTAACTATTGTTTAGTAAATAAACTGTATCAGCAATCTGACAAATACTTTCTCCTATTAGCTTGTCAACAACCTTTATCATTGGTAATAATATTTATTTATAGGGGTAATCACAAAAAGTTGCAATAACTTTTGAACCGTAATATTTACAACAATGGGGGGATGCACTATTTTATTTAGAATTATAAGGACCATAAAACATAATAATTTTAATCAAAACAGGTTTTTTCAAAAATCTGATTTTCCTTTATTTTATGGGATTTTATGGGAAAATAACTTAAGTTACAACAACTTTTGAACCATAATTTTTATGGAAATGGGAGTTATACCATTTTGTTCAGAATTTAAAGAACTATAACATAGTAATATTTTATCAAACTCATTCAGGCTGTTTTAGAGAAAATGTGATTTTTCTGTTAATTTATGGGTTTTTATGGGCAAATCACCATTAAAAATCAAAATTCCAAAAAAATTAAAAAACACCTGGAGATACCATTGATTAGTACCTACATACCAAATCTCCTAATCTAACCAAAGGTGTGGTCTGTAGCTCTATACACATACAGACACACACACATACTCACACAGAGACATAACTTCAAAAATCACTTTTTTGGACTGATGTATCTACTCAAAACTTGAACTCAAATATTTTGACGAAAACAATATTTTCTCCATATACTATGTATAGGGGGAGAAAGTACAAATTAAATTTATCTGTAACAATAACATTTTTGTTTTAATATTTCACAAAACTATACTTAAGTCCTTACATGGAACATTTATTTTAGACCATAATGTTTTATTTCACATCAACTATCTCAGTGAAAAAGACTAAGAGAGAATAAGGGTTTGAAAAATAACACAAATGATTGAGCTCAGAGAGAGGATGACTTATTTGAATAAAAAATCTACTACCAGACACTAGACGGCTTATAGCTGGTCTACATAGGGTGGTTCATCACATCCTCGCGTTACTTACTGCAAATAGCTATCAGCCTCATCCGCTGTATTGTGGATGGACTTTGCCATCACCAGCTCCGCACTCTTGTGGAAGCACTCCATGGCCGCAGCCGTCAACTCTGCCAGAGACAAGATGGCCGTCTCGTTCACTACAGTTGCTGACTGCTGCTGCTGTAGTCTCGTACATATCTCTTCATTCACCTGTACAAGTGAAATCATGTAAGTTTAGTGATAAAATATGTAATTTATTCGTATTTAATAGTTGATAGTGTGAAGTTAAAGAGTAACAAGAAGATCCTTCATTCAGTGAGTTGTCATATCCTGAATTGAAATTCCAATCTCTGTTCTGAGCAATGAATAGCTTTAGAGAAAAATATGTAGGGTAAAGTAGAATCAGTAGAGAAAATCAATAGAATAGAATTGGGAACAAGAAAGGTATTAGAAATTAGGTATTTTTACCAGGTCAACTTATTGTAAACTTTTATTTCGCATCAACTATCTCAGTAACAAAAAATAAAGAAGAAAATACAATTACAGTATATACTCTGTGAGTTGCTTATTCAATCATATTCTTTTTGAGTACATAAATGGGACCAGCTAGTCCATATTAATGGGATGTTTACTTCTGTATGTAAAAGTCAACAGTTCTAGTTGGTAACAAAACTTTCATGTCTTTCATTCCAAGTCAGTTTATTTATTATCTTTTAAACCATATACACCCTGGGGTGCCAACGTTGTGGCCATGTAATAAAGTAAGTTGCAGCCTAATTTACATTAAGTTGATGAGCCCTACATTATCACAAACAACGCCACAGATAAAAGCTTTTTCTAAGAGGTTGGCAGCCTCTATTCTTACATTTACCCGTCCAAATAAGCCTCGCACCTGTGCATGGAATGTATCTAGAGCAAGGGGTGAGCTGATACACTACAAAAGTGAACTGTATTGACAAAATTTAGTAGCAGCGAACACTTAACGTCGATGCTATGGATCCTTAGTCCGTCGCATCCCCATCTCACCTAAACACTGCATGTTCTTTGATAACTTACTTTAGGTGCTCACCTTTATTATTTTTGCTGGGGTCATCTTTATTTTCAGACCGAGGAAACACTCTGAGATGGAGTCAGCGAACTGTTGTGCAGTGAGTGCTTCAGTTTCCTCATCCTCCTCTGTTAGTTCACACAAGTCCCTCACTTGTGACAGAGTCTCCTCTAGATCCTTCAACTGAGGTCCACTGTACGACTGCATCAGAGACTGCAACTTCAACTCACTCTGTGTCGACAACATCTCCAGCGCTTCCAAGTGGACCATACCTAGCAAAGGGAAAGGTAAAGATTCAATAAGAAACATTGTTGTGACAGTCTCCTCTAGATCCCTCAACTGAGGTCCACTGTACGACAGCATCAGAGACTGCAACTTCAACTCACTCTGAGTCGACATCTCCAGTGCTTCCAAGTGCACCATACCTAGCAAAGGTAAAGTTTCAATAAGAAACATTGTTGTGACAGTCTCCTCTAGATCCCTCAACTGAGGTCCACTGTACGACAGCATCAGAGACTGCAACTTCAACTCACTCTGAGTCGACATCTCCAGTGCTTCCAAGTGGACCATACCTAGCAAAGGTAAAGTTTCAATAAGAAACATTGATGTGACAGTCTCCTCTAGATCCCTCAACTGAGGTCCACTGTACGACAGCATCAGAGACTGCAACTTCAACTCACTCTGTGTCGATAACATCTCCAGTGCTTCCAAGTGCACCATACCTAGCAGAGGTAAAGATTCAATAAGAAACATTGTTGTGACAGTCTCCTCTAGATCCCTCAACTGAGGTCCACTGTACGACAGCATCAGAGACTGCAACTTCAACTCACTCTGAGTCGACATCTCCAGTGCTTCCAAGTGCACCATACCTAGCAAAGGTAAAGTTTCAATAAGAAACATTGTTGTGACAGTCTCCTCTAGATCCCTCAATTGAGGTCCACTGTACGACTGCATCAGAGACTGCAACTTCAACTCACTCTGTGTCGACAACATCTCCAGTGCTTCCAAGTGCACCATACCTAGCAAAGGGAAAGATTCAATAAGAAACATTGTTGTGACAGTCTCCTCTAGATCCTTCAACTGAGGTCCACTGTACAACTGCATCAGAGACTGCAACTTCAACTCACTCTGTGTCGATAACATCTCCAGCGCTTCCAAGTGGACCATACCTAGCAAAGGGAAAGGTAAAGATTCAATAAGAAACATTGTTGTGACAGTCTCCTCTAGATCCCTCAATTGAGGTCCACTGTACGACTGCATCAGAGACTGCAACTTCAACTCACTCTGTGTCGACAACATCTCCAGTGCTTCCAAGTGGACCATACCTAGCAAAGGAAAAGGTAAAGATTCAATAAGAAACATTGTTGTGACAGTCTCCTGTAGATCCCTCAACTGAGGTCCACTGTACGACTGCATCAGAGACTGCAACTTTAACTCACTCTGAGTCGACAACATCTCCAGTGCTTCCAAGTGGACCATACCTAGCAAAGGAAAAGGTAAAGATTCAATAAGAAACATTGTTGTGACAGTCTCCTGTAGATCCCTCAACTGAGGTCCACTGTACGACTGCATCAGAGACTGCAACTTTAACTCATTCTGAGTCGACAACATCTCCAGTGCTTCCAAGTGGACCATACCTAGCAAAGGAAAAGGTAAAGATTCAATAAGAAACATTGTTGTGACAGTCTCCTGTAGATCCCTCAACTGAGGTCCACTGTACGACTGCATCAGAGACTGCAACTTCAACTCACTCTGTGTCGACAACATCTCCAGCGCTTCCAAGTGGACCATACCTAGCAAAGGGAAAGGTAAAGATTCAATAAGAAACATTGTTGTGACAGTCTCCTCTAGATCCCTCAATTGAGGTCCACTGTACGACTGCATCAGAGACTGCAATTTCAACTCACTCTGAGTCGACAACATCTCCAGTGCTTCCAAGTGCACCATACCTAGCAAAGGTAAAGATTCAATAAGAAACATTGTTGTGACAGTCTCCTCTAGATCCCTCAACTGAGGTCCACTGTACGACTGCATCAGAGACTGCAACTTCAACTCACTCTGTGTCGACAACATCTCCAGCGCTTCCAAGTGGACCATACCTAGCAAAGGGAAAGGTAAAGATTCAATAAGAAACATTGTTGTGACAGTCTCCTCTAGATCCCTCAATTGAGGTCCACTGTACGACTGCATCAGAGACTGCAATTTCAACTCACTCTGAGTCGACAACATCTCCAGTGCTTCCAAGTGGACCATACCTAGCAAAGGAAAAGGTAAAGATTCAATAAGAAACATTGTTGTGACAGTCTCCTCTAGATCCCTCAACTGAGGTCCACTGTACGACTGCATCAGAGACTGCAACTTCAACTCACTCTGTTTCGACAACATCTCCAGCGCTTCCAAGTGGACCATACCTAGCAAAGGGAAAGGTAAAGATTCAATAAGAAACATTGTTGTGACAGTCTCCTCTAGATCCCTCAATTGAGGTCCACTGTACGACTGCATCAGAGACTGCAACTTCAACTCACTCTGTGTCGATAACATCTCCAGTGCTTCCAAGTGGACCATACCTAGCAAAGGGAAAGGTAAAGATTCAATAAGAAACATTGTTGTGACAGTCTCCTCTAGATCCCTCAACTGAGGTCCACTGTACGACTGCATCAGAGACTGCAACTTCAACTCACTCTGTATCGACAACATCTCCAGCGCTTCCAAGTGGACCATACCTAGCAAAGGAAAAGGTAAAGATTCAATAAGAAACATTGTTGTGACAGTCTCCTCTAGATCCCTCAACTGAGGTCCACTGTACGACTGCATCAGAGACTGCAACTTCAACTCACTCTGTATCGACAACATCTCCAGTGCTTCCAAGTGCACCATACCTAGCAAAGGGAAAGGTAAAGATTCAATAAGAAACATTGTTGTGACAGTCTCCTGTAGATCCCTCAACTGAGGTCCACTGTACGACTGCATCAGAGACTGCAACTTTAACTCACCTGTCCTGGGGGAAGAGTGGACCTTTGGTCTAACTCAGGGCAGCTTAAATAAAGCATTTGTCATTTGTCATTTGTCTACGTCGACAACATCTCCAGCGCTTCCAAGTGGACCATACCTGCCAAAGGTAACGATTCAATAAGAAACATTGTTGTGACAGTCTCCTCTAGATCCCTCAACAGAGGTTTACTACACGACTGCATCAGAGACTGCAACTTTTTTGAACTCACTCTGCGTTGACTCAAATTAGCTGTGACAAAAATACAGATTTTTTCTCCATAAGAATAACATGGGAAAGGAATGTTAAAGGCCAGAGGGGCAGGGCCCCAAGGGAATTTACCTCGTTTCTCTTTTAATGGTTCATCTACAGACCAAGACCTTTCATTAGACACCTCTGCTGAGTTTCTACACCCAGCTGTTCTCTCAAATTAGTGGAGACAAAGAAAAACAGTTTCAAATTAATTTATAGATTTTTCCCACTAACTCAACTTAATATTATGTGGAGGAAACTAACTGAGCTTAATAGCCAACAGAAATTTACATACCTTGAAAGTCATCAAAAAGAGATTCATAATGAACTTTTCTTGCAGCTTCTTTCTCTTCCTTTTCCTTATCACTGTTGTCTGCTCTCTCTTTTGCCTCTCTCAAAATCTATAAAAGATATTATGTACTTCTTTCATAAAGACATTAACTAAATAAAAATATAAGATATTTACAAAACCTTAGTTAGACCATTATTGCATGCTTTAAACAAATTTTTTTTAGTTTTAAAGATTACACAATTCACGTAACTAATGAATTATTGATAGCGATTAGTTACAAGTTAATCAAACTAAAAGTAAATAGCATAAAGCCAACTTGTAACATATTTTGTATCAAATGTATCCCCAAGTGCAGGAGACAACCTAAAGGGCCTGTTTCTCCAACATGATGCTACGGCTACTGTACTTTCCTGGCTTTGCTCATAAAGGAGCCTATTCAACAACATAGAATCCAAACTGACAAAATTCACGTATATTCATGATTAAATGGATAGCCTGTATCAATACCAAACTATTTGTATTTACTTGAGACAAAATAGGCTTGTCCTCATCTTGGAAAAGCAAAGCTCGCTTCTTTTTCAATCCTGGATCTCCTTCTTGAAGAACTTCCATGGTCTTTTTGCCGATTGTCTCTAACGTGTCTAGGCCTCGGTTGATCACTGAACTTCCGAGAAAGCTGACTCCAGACATGATCGAGCCCAATCCTCCGTAGCCATCTTCACTTCTAGCTGGTTCTCCTACAAAGCGTTACAATGCTAATTTCTTCAATTAACTCTCTAATGTTCGTACTTATAAAGCCATATGGATAATTAAGGAGTTGTATTTGGATATTTTTAGGTAGTTTCCCTATGAAAATGTAAAATCCAAAAACCAAAACCATGTTTACACCAGAGTTCACAACAACACATATTTAAAACAAAAGTTTTCAACAATCCAAAAAATTCAGATTTTTGTTGAAAACATTTAATACGTTTTTTCACTGTTTGACATTCGGTTTTCCTCATTGCGTTTTAAACATCTGTTTACAGTAGGCTAGTTATTTTAATCAATGTTAACGCCAGATTATGAGACAACAGTTTAAAACATTTGTTGACAACATTGTACCTACGTAAAATGTTTAGATAACCTGTCCAATCCTATACCAGAAAATTTCCAAAGAGTGGTCTCATTGATTTATCTCGAAAATTACGAATTAAAAAAAGAGGGATGCTATAGTGTTTTAAAAGGCATTGTTTGTATGATAGCACAACTCCAACAAACATGAACTTTGAAAGAAACGACTATAAAACATGTAGCCTATCCTGAGCTCTACCTTCTAAAGCAGTCTTTCTGACAATTCACGTTAAATTACTGAAATAATGAAGAAAAGTAGGCTAATATAAACCAGAATCAAATTCCTTAATGGAATCAAGTTCACAGCAAATCATATAGTGTCAGTCAGCCACAATCGTAGCCTTGGAATCACACTGTAAAAACACCTTTTTGCAAATATCCAACAGATCAGCATCAAAATTTGAATTTTAAAGTGGTACATTTAACGCTTTAAGTTTAAATATTATGTGTGGTTTATATCAGGGGTCTGTGGGGGATAAAAAAATACAATTTCATCTTGATCGCAAGTGATGTTCACACTTTAGCTACGATCACAGGAGACTCCAATGACAGAAGAGGTTCACAAATTGTTTGTGAAAGCTGTAATTAGGCCTAATAACGAGTTTGCGAATACCTTGGAAGATTTTCTCGGTTTCACCGTGATAGCTGAAGATGTTCACAATTCTGTCATGACTGCCAAAGGTGTTTTCGATTTTGACCATAGAGGGCGTTTTGCTGGGATGCAGAAAATGATTATTACATCGTTGTGACTGTGTATACGACTTTTACGATTTTGACATGATTACAAAAGATAATGTGATTTAGCCTTAATAGCTGAAGATGTTCCATATTTCACCGCTATTGCAGAAGATAATTTACAGTAGTACCCCTCATATCTGACCTCGGCATAACCGACTCCTCATGATATACCTAGTGTCCGACCATCTACTTGTTTCCTGTATTGGGGGAGGAGAACGCCGAGCGTGTTTGATTAACGGAAAGGTCAATCACGGATGTAACCGTAATCACGGCAGACGATCACAACTGTCGGAGACGATTACTGATTTTGAGGGCCTGTAAGATACGCTTACGGCCATAGACTAAGCAACACAAGTAGACTTGTCATCCCATTGTAAATTTTGAAGTTTTTTTTCGTATCTAGTTCATGTCAACACTGATGGCTCGTGTAGACAAAATTTTGTTTCTATTATTATTAAGGTTATTTTTATGATATGTGTTTACATAACTAGGAGACTAGTTGTTATTGTTTAGGATTAGATTGTTGTATTTGGATAAACCAGGTTATGACTGAAATAACAAGATACAAATAGTAAAAAAAACACAACCTCTATAGTACGACGTACAGAACTAACAATTGGCTTCAGCTGTTCAATAAGGATGGCAAATCTAGTAAGGGAGTATGTTTTATCTATGTCATGGCTGATGACGAGGTTGCTAGAGACGATTACCGCCAGTTTCGCCGAGACTGCAGGACATGTTTACGGGTGCTGCCGCGATTGCGGGATGCGATTACCAATGTCCCGGAGAGCGTAAGATATGCTAACGGCTGTTTCCGGGGTTGCCGTAGACGATTACCCCCGGTTTTGCCAAGACCCCAAAATATGGTTGCGGGTGATGCCGCGGTCGCAGGAGACAATTATTGATGTAGCAGAGAGAGCAAGATGCTCATGGCTGTTGCCGTGGTCACGGGAGACAATTACCAATGTCCCCGAGAGCACAAATTATGCTCCTACCGATATCCTTTTGATCCTTCTGACTCCGACCCGGTCCCGTCATGGTCGGATATGAGGGGTTCTACTGTACAAGGATTGTATGAACCGATTGTAGTAGGCCTATACAATTATTAATTTTGAAAATCGATAGCCTAATTTTCAAAGCAAACTAATATTGAGCCCACCCAACCAAAACCGTCTAGTTCATGCTACCAAGATGTTTTTTGTTGAGCTGATACCACTGTTAGGGAAAGAGGATCATTAGGTGCTATAGAAATGTATTGTTTCCATGCCTACCTTGTTCATCCCTTTGAGAGAGTTGATCCCTTGCTAGGGAAGCTGGGTCTGGGGCACCTACTGTGGTCTCTATGACAGTGGAGAGTCCAGCGGTTACTTGGCTGGAGAATGAAGTTACAGTTCCAGAAGCAGTAGACAACAGGGAGCTGACCCCCCAGCCTCCCCACCCACCCCAGCTCTGTTCCTGGAAACATACAAGTAAGAACAGCTAGCCTACACATAAATAATAATTAGAACAAATGTATACTCGGGACCTTATCCGCTAATTCACTATTTGGGTGGATCGATGCTTTTAGGTGTCCAATGAGGCAATTTTCAGATCAATTGTGTTGCTCATAACCTGTGTTAACCCAATACAGTTGAACCTCGTTTGTACAAACCTCGATAAAACGAATTCCTCGATAAAACAAATTTTTTTTAATCCCCTTGACATTTTCATATATGTTAATGCTAAAACACCTCTATACAACGTAGTAATTAAGTTAAAAACCTCCATAAGACGAATTTGTTTGTGACATGGGCTAGGACTGATTAACCTCTATACAACGAATATTCTTAGCACAAAACCTCTACAAGACGAACGTGACCTCTATAAGACGAATTTATCATAATCTTAACCTCCATAGTACGTAGTTTTCAAAACAAACAGAAGCTTGTCTCAACATGAAACCCCCACCCATCCCTCCTCCTTCCTCAGTCATTGTTAGAAGAAACCTTGGAGCGAGGAGAAACCTCTATAAGAAGAATAACAGCAGCATTAAACCTCGATAAAACGACCCTCTTTATTGAGAATACCTCCCGTACCCCTTGAAATTCGTCTTATAGAGGTTCAACTGTACAGACAAAACAATAGAACTATATTTTTAAATAAATAAAAGAAACGTCTTATAACACTTAAAACATATATTTACGCTTATTCAGTTACTCAAAAGACGGTAAATATACATAAACGATGGTAAGTGGTGATCGATTTTGATTGAACACTCCAATCATCATCTGATGAAGAAGTTATTTAACAATACCAAAATTAAGGTTTAGGTTATGCCTCGGTTCTAACCTAACCTAACTCAGCCCCACCTAACCCGAATAATGTAAGTTACATGGGCGTCGTCAGCATCAAAACTTTGATGGGGACAAATATAGGACCTTTTTAGGGGGGCCACCGGGGGGTTTGGGGGGGTGTGGAGCACCCCCCAATGAGGCAGGGGGGTCCGGGGGTCCTGCCCCGGGAAAATTTGGAATTTTCAAAGCCGTTTGGTGGCTTTCTAAAGCCATTTTTGACACCTAAAACCGTGCCCAATTGTCCATAAACTCCCATTTCACCTGTTGTTTGTCATGAGCAAATATAAATTTTTAATATTAAACTATGAAGATTGCATTAATTAATTTCAAAACACACTGTTGACTACGGCCATATCCTCCTAAAAGCTGTTGGGTGACTTTCTACAGCCAGTTTTAACGTCTAGACTAGAACTGTGTGCAAAACCTCCCATTCCCTCATTTATTTGTCATGAATAAGTATGGTAGACATTTTTAAAACTATCTATGACGATTGCATTGATAAATCTAAAAAAATATTGTAGGCTACGGCCATATCCTCCTAAAAGCTGTTTACTGACTTTCTAAATCCATTATTAATGTCTATGTGTCCACTGTCCAACTGTCCAAAAATCTCTCATTTCACCTATTATTTGTCTCTGTCATGAGCAAGTACACATTTAAAAAATCAAACTATGACGAAATTGTAATAATGAATTTCAAAACATAGGCCTACTGTAGACTACGAAGCCATATCTCCTAAAAGCCGTCTGGTGACTTTATAAAGACATTTCTAACGGATAGAAGTATCCAATAGTCAATGCTAGAACTGTGCCTAATTGTCCTAAAACTTTCCATTTCACCTGTTATATTTCATGCAAGCAAGTAGACATGTTTTTTAACCTTACGTTTTTCTCAATTTCATAGATCTGTCACAATATTATGTATACTGTAGTATCGAATTCAGTAATAGCATTGACTATATAAACTTTAACACAATTATTTATATAATCAATGGTAATAGGCTTACTGGTAGTACTCTGATTGCTGATTGATGCCTGTGTAAAGTCAGTGGCTAGCAGACAATTTCTCAACTAAACTAGCCTACTAGTAGTATGGAACATCAGGAAATCAGCTGTTTCCCCGTCCTCGCTCGCGCGCTCGGCACTAGCATTTGCCCTAGCATGTCTACAGGCGACTGCTGTAAAAATTTGATGATGCGTACAACTTTCCATAGTGTAATATTGTTTTATTCGTTGTGCTATTGTCCACAAAGTTTATCTATGTGGAACATATAATACTACTCCTGCCATCGCTTATTAAGTTTAATACAAACTACATTGATGATGTCTGATTTATGGCATTGAGTGTTTTAAGAACGAAATGTACGTTTAAATTTACAAAACTGACTTTTCAAATATTGGGGGGGACGCGTCCCCCATGTCCCCTATGGCGGCGACGCCCGTGGTAAGTTAATAGGCTAATAATATTTTAGGTACCCTTAAAAATGAATTGACGGAAAAAGTCCCATATTTGGCTTTAAAACCCCTGAAATTATGAAGAATACTAGCAGAGTATCCGTCCTTCGTACGGGGTTGGCATATAAGTTTAAATTGTTTATTGCAGTTATACTCAAGCTTTGCGTTTGCAATGGGGGAGGACAAAGTTTGATAAAATTTGCTTCTTTAAATTGACAATATACTATGGTATTACACATCTACCATAGCCATAATGTTCTACCTCTTCACCTAAACAATAAAGAAAAATAAAGTATTACAAATTTAAAAAATCACAAATTATTCATGACATTAAAAACATAATCATAACTGTAAACAATCCTACTTTGACAGTTCTCATTGCTTATCACAGTTGTTTGTTGCTGCTTAGTTCAAATTAGCTGTTTACATAAATGCAAAAAAATATAGTGCTGCACCCTGTTGGTAAATCTTATAACTTTTTAATGCTTTTGTATATCATAGAACCAACTTTTTTAGTTGAAACAGCTGACTAAATTCTTTAATTCCCTTTAAATATGAATACTCATAAGGTTAACATGGGGAACTACAGAGTCACTGGGGCGGAGCCCGAAGGGATTTTTGAGATAAGAATATGCCTATATTTTAATCGGGAATGGGAGCTATCATCATGCCAAATTTCAGCCCAATCCATCCAGTGGTTTATGCGTGATTGACCTTCAAACACACAAACAAACAAACAAACACACAAACTTTCACATTTAGGCCTATAATATTAGTAAGATAAGATTTTCTGAACCTAACTAAGTCTTACCATTGACTATTGGATACAGAAGGTCTTACCATGAAAACTAGTCCATAGCCAGTGCCAAGTCAGAAATGTCCTTAAGATGAATTAATGAAAAGTCGTAGCTATCAAAATATTTTGTGAATAAACATTGCGGAACATTGGAATGGAAGAAACTGGGAGGGTTTTTAAAGTACAGTAGAGTCCCGTTAGTCCGAAATGGTTGGGACCGGGCCCATTTCGGATTACCAAATATTTCAGATTAAACAATTTTTTTTTTTATTTTTTTTTTCCAAGCCCGGGATTGTTTTTCACATTACTTAAGGCTAGACCTAGTGTTTGCAGCATTATCACTTAATAAAGTCCATTTGTGATTTGGCGGGATTGGAACTCAGGACGAAAATGAAAAATGTTAATAACAAAAATGGTGAAATATTTACTAAAATACTTTACAAAAAAAGTCTATCTCGCCCGGCCGCTACAGAATACTTTGACGAGGTACAGCTAACTGTGTTAAAAGTTTAATAAAAAATAATTTCAAAAAATTTTCAAAAAATTTTTAAAATTTTTATTTTTTTTATAAAAAAATATAAAAAATATATTTTTTTGTTTCGGATTAAGCGGACATTCGGATTACCGAAGTTCGGATTATTGGGACTCCACTGTACTATCTTTGACTATTACAATGGTACTATACTAGAATATTTTGGTTTGGTTTTGGCTACATAAGCTAGGCTACAGTAAAATAGGCCCTACCTTAAATTTTAACGGAAATACTCTCTCCATAAAAAATTAATTATTTAACTTACTTCTGCTTTTAAATCTCTTGGTGCATTTTGATCGCTTCCAACTATTTGCTCTGGTGTGTATTCAATCCCAATGTCACCTTTTTTACTAGTTAATGTTGCTGGAATTTCAAAGCCGTCTTCCTCTTCAAGTTCCCATCCATCACCTGTTTCTAAATTAGTTTCATCGGCTAAATGAACCTCTTGTGATGATTTAACAATGTTTAGTTCTTCAGAAGTGGAAATGCATCCATCCTCTTCAATTTCCCATCCGTCATTCGTTCCCAAACTCTTTTCGTCGGGTAAATTAAACTTTTGTGATGATTTTACGTTTTCGTCTTCAGAAATGGAAATGTTCTCCTTGATGTTTACATTCTTTATTGTGTTAGAATCACTATCATTATTACCTTGTGTTTTATTTTCTTTTGGTAGGAGCTTTGTTCCAAGTTTCAATGGCTTATTTTTCTTTTCCTGACTATTTGATCTTTTATTGTTTTCTTTTTCAGACAATGTGCTGTCTTCTTCCTGTTGAAAATCTGATGATTTATCACTTAGTTTTGTATCCAACTTCCTGACTTCAGGTACAGTTTTTTCACCTTCACTCGTAGTTAATGTCTGACATATGATTGATTTTGATGCTTTCTCTGTATCATCCTCATTCTTTGGCACTGTTTCTCTAGTATCACTCCTAAAAGGTTCTTCATTCAAATCAAGATTACCACACTTGTCATCTATCTTTACTGATGAAATTGTTTCACAGGCAATTTTCTCATTTTTATTACTTGCTTCTACATCAATATGATCGTTATTAGTGGATGTTTTAGCACAATCATTTTCTTCTTGACTTTTACAATCATCATCATCATTAAGATCTTCATCGGCACTTTCAAAATCCCCTTCACTCTCCGATGAGTTCATGGTTGGATCTATAAAATTAAAATAACAAATATTATGAACAATATTGTTACCCATTTCCTAAGGGTCAAGCTGAAGACCACTGTCACAAACCGACAAACCAAAAACATATTGCTGTGCAATGTGCATGGCCTGTTATTAAAATTCTGGCCTCACTGACAGAAAAGCTAATTATTATTTTAATAGGTACTTTTCATTGAAATGGCGACCATATGCATTGTGTAGTAAGAGTGAGTTAGCCTACCACTTACCGTTGTAATCACTTACAGAAGTCAACTACGTGATAAAGTGTTCTCTGTAAATTCTTTAAAATCTAATAAAACAGAATACCTCCGCTACAGCAAACCTGCAGATTAAGCAAATACTTAGGTATATAGGTATTTGCTTGATTGTGGATCTTTACTGAAATATTTTCTTTAAAAATATGTTAGATGTATTACCTCAAACTTATTATAAATAACATTAGGTTTGATAAGTACTTAGGCTCGCTGCCACAAGGAAGGTTACGGAGTATTTTTTTTATGTTAATAGCTTAGTGATAAACTATTACTGGTTGTTTTCCTTTGGGGGCATCAAAAACAAATAATAGAAATCAGTCCCAGGTCTAGGTGTTACTGTGCCACCTAATGTATAATTTGATTAGAGTTGACACTTTAACTTGCCATTGGTTAACTGTCCTCCACGTTCAAGAAAGGTGAGGAACGAGTGTAGGCGCTCCTTAGCAGACGTTACTTGAATGTGTTCAGGGCCGGCTAGAGGGTGGGGCAGAGGGGCCAGAGGAAGGGGCCCGCGGTTCTGAAGGGGGCCCGGACCGGTCAAATGTAAAATCTTTTCTGTGCATTTAAGTTTAATCTGCTTAAGTCCAAATTTTAGAATGGTTTTCTACTTCACCAAGTGATTTTTGACTTGAATTGTTTAATCTAAGTCTTGACTGTGAATAAAGTTGCAACCGTGAGCACGAGAATTAGGCCTAAACAAACTATCAAGCATTTTAGATAGCCGAAAAGTGGATCTATTTTCAGACTTCAGAAAAGAATCATCCGAATTATGACTAATTCCCACCCCAGAAGTCCTTGTAAATTACATTTTCAAAATTTAAAAATCCAAACACTCACAGGACTATACATATTTGAATTATTAAACTACATACACAATATAAAAAATAACCTCCCGGATTCATTCAAATTCACACACAACTATAGTACAAGAAACGAAACAATTTTCAGATTACCAAATCACCGTTTGACCTTATTTGAAAAAAGTCCTTTGTATGCAGGTTTAAAAATGTATAATAAACTACCGGTATATTATAAAATAATGAGTTCAAACAAGTTTCAAGAAACATTGAAAAATGGACTCCTTGAACGTGCGTTTTATAAAATGGAAGAATTTTATAACCATCCCTTGAGTTAATTTTTTGTTTTTAATTTGCTTAACTACTGTACTGTATTAACATTATTTGGCTAGGTATTTTTTCCTGTTACTTTGTACTTTGTATTTTTCTAGTCTAGGCTCAATTTTGACAATGCACCTGTTCTATATGTTATCACATCTAAAAGAATGTTATGTGCAAATAAATAATGTCTAATGTCTAATGTCTAATGTCCGATGTATTGTTATTTGTGTAAAATAACACCACAGAGGCAACTGGACAATAAATCAGGAAAATAAGAGGCCCGTAACGGCTCTCGCCGACCCTGAATGTGTTTATATGATTAATGATTGTAAAAAGATGGATGAGTGTGTTATATACATGGGTATAGGCACTTTAAATTCTTTTAACAACACTAGGTAGCCTAGGCATGAGTAAATTTCACCTTTAAAAATGTTTGCTAAAACCCTATTTTATTGTATTTTCATGATGAATTATTACCACATTGATTGATTTATCAATCACTTGCGACCAATAAAAACATTTGTAACGCGGCCAATGCTTAGTTGGAAAACGTCAAAGTTTTAACACAATGTTACTGTGATAAAATAGGTTATATTTCTTACTATTTAGTTAGGCCTACATTACCAAAATCCCAATGAGACATTTACGTTAAAAAAGGGAGCTTACTCTTTAAGTATTTACTGCTAAACTATTTTACATTCAACTTACACGCGAATTCTATTTAACGAGATGAATGCACTAAATTCATATCATTAAAACATAAACGACGATATCAGTGACATTATTATCATTTTGACTTGACACGTTTCTGACGTTTCGTTTCGAGTTCGACGTTGCGTGTTTCATTTTCATCACAGCACAGCTGAAACTTTGCCTTTTTTTTCAATAACTGTTTGTATACAGGGCGCGGAAGAAATATCACTATAATCAATGTTTATGACCCTGAACAGATTCCATGTGAGAATGTACATTTTAAAGACGGGTGGCATCATAGTTCATCATTAGTCTATATCAAACAGAGGTACGTGGCATCTACAGATTTATGATAATCAGTCGATCATATATTTATTTTGTTATTATCATTACTATTATATAAATATATATGTATAAACTTCATAATAGCTCCTTCAATAAACATGGCGTATTCTTCTCTATGTACCATTCACCATTGCCTATTTTATGGCCAAATTAACATAAGCGAAGCGACCCCCGCCCCTTGATGGAACTTCCTTGCGATCCCGACAAAATCGTGAACATTTCCTGCGTTCAAGAGAACATCATCATCAACACCATAGCGATCACGAAGAAATCGTGAACATTTCCCACGATAACATGAATAGCATCATCACCTGCCGTGATCGCGCAAATTATTAATTTAAAAAAACTTGAACTCTTTTTCAAAAGGAAAAATTGTGTACCATATCGCTGCACCCCTTTTTGCTTGCAGCCCCATAGGCCGCGGCCCAGTAATAAGTCCGTCACTAATACTACTGCCAAAAATATGTTGCCTCATTCCTTTCATTGAGGGTGGGTTGGGTTTGGAATAAACATGGCAAGCCCTTCTGTTATGCCAAGAATTGCACATAATTCTTTACCTCCCCAACACAGTTCTCTGCCCACATCTATACAAACCTCTAGGAATTTAATTAGTGTGCCATGAGTAATTATTCTTTATACATCCTCTTCAAACAGCTTCCCTGCTGGCGGGAACTAACTTTTCATTCAAAGATATAAGACAAGTGGATTTCGGAATGGAAATGAGACTTTCTTGAAGGGGGGTGTAACTTCTTTGTTGATATCCAACCTAACTTCAGAATATTGAGAGTGTTCCTCAGAAGTGACACTCTACTAAGCCATATCCTGCACAGGGGTAGATAGGTGCAAGTAAAATTAGAGTAATTTATGATGGGGCTCGTGCGTGGAGAGTCTTCAAACTGTACTGTAGAGCACATAGGTGCAGGTATTGTAACCCAAAGGGGCAGAAATTAATAGCTTGTAAATAATATAGTAGGTACTGTATATGGTTTATCAAACTGGTACTTTTCAATTACAAGCACTCACCATTCAAATGTTATTTTAGAGTTTGAATTTGGCACCAAATTAAGTGAATTAATTTGAGCTTTATAGTTAGTAAAATAAGAACAATAAAATTTCGATGGTCAGTGGTCAGATTGTCAAATAACAAAAAATGCAATACATAATAAATGATAACTAGAACTAAATTATCATTTAAAATTCATATTTTATAGTTTAAATTTAATATTTATGGTACCGTAGCGGAAATAAGCAAGTTAGTATACCTATTTTTTTATCTTCATCGATGCCAGGAAAACATGTTATTTATGAAGAATGTGTAAAATTTATTGAAAAATTCACTGATTGGCTGTAATTTCGTATGAATTAAAATGTCATTTAGTGTAATATGTGTTTATTTTACAATTTACATAATCAAACATAGCCGCAATTAACATTTTAAATAATTATGTTAGAAAATATAAGTTTACCGGTACTGGTAAAACTACTGTATAGATCCTGAAACACTCAGTTAACTAAGTTACTTTACGGCCATTAAGTCAAAATGTTATTTTTATGATTTGATTTTTTTAAATCTATGGAAAAAATTGAAAAATTGAAATTAGTTTTTGAATAACTAGACAATGCTCTTTTATGAATGTATCCTTTATGGAAAAATGTTTCAGAATTTTATAAAACTTCACAAATCATCGTACAAATTTAATTGATAGAATTATGGAATGTTAACTAAATAACCATTGATCAATGATGGAATTTTTGTGTACAGAAGTTTACAACATAAAAGTGGAAAGTGGAAGAGTTTAATACAGCAAAGTATGCAGCATTTAACCACTGTGTGAGTGAAATAAAATTTCAATGATAATATGGTAATAGTCGCATTCCTTTCCCGAGGCATCTGGACTCCGATTGGCTACTGAACATGAGTTGAAGGTGATGTCACGCCGCTCATGATAATGAGGTATTCAAGATGGCGGAGTAAGCTAGTTTGTGCGCCAGTTGCTATAGTTTTGGATGGATTTTAGTAGTGAAATATGCCCAGAAAGAGAAATGGTGAGTTACCTTTACCCGAGGGATGGGATTTCGCGCGGGATTACGATGGAAAAGTGTATTTTATTGACCACAACAGCAAGAAAACCACTTGGATTGATCCTAGAGACAGGTAAGGAAATCACCCTAGTGAGCCTCAAGTCTAACCATGGAATTTCTTGTTTGTTCCAATTTAACTTTTAGTCCTGTGTCATTTTAGTTTGTAAGAGTATTTGTAATTTTATTAATTTAATTCATATTAAAAATTTAAAGTGACATTAGCCTTATAAACTTTACGTTTATTCTCTAAATATGTAAGCTAGCCCCCTCTAATATTTGTAGACAGTGCTGCTCCCTTTTAGGAAAAATGTCAACTCTCATTTTATTTTGGTTTGTTGAAAACTGTCTTTCTTGGAAGTAGCTTTGTTTAATTGACATTACTATTTTATTACAATTTGAATTCCTTTTTTTAGGTTCAACCCACTTTCTAAAACAGGCTTTGATTCGTGTTTAGGCCTATATGTAAAATGCATTTTCTACTTGCTTTTTCACTGTAGACCTACTTTTGAATACCCTAAGTTATTAATTTTATGCTTTTAAGCATGCTTTACACTTTAAAATCTATCAGCTCCTGCTGTTTAAAATAATATATAATTTTAATAACTTTAAGTAATACCTTTTGCACTCTTAGCCTAACTTATTTGAACAATTCTTAAGTTACACATTAAAGTTAAGTTTAGGAGCACCCATTCACCTTTGACTGACACCAAATAATCAATCGAAATGGAAATTTAATGAAACATCCAGATGTAATGTAGGCTATGTCAAAGTGTTAGACTCCCTAAGTAAACGTTACTTAAAGAAGGCTTACCGGTAGTTCATCAATGGTCTCTGTTATAAGTTAAGTTAGCGTAATTATTGTCAAACGAACTACGGCCTAAAATCATTTTGACTTTAACTTACCCTGAAACTAAAAGTGGCATAAAATATAACACAACTTAGGGTACCGGTAGGGTTGCCTTTTAAAACGACTTAAGAAACTTAACTTACAAGTTAAATTGTGTGTTTGAAGAGTTAAGTTAAACTTAACTTACGCTAAACAAGTTAAGGGTACTTAGACTTTCATAAGTGGGGCCAAAAACAACCGAATGAAAATATTGTTTTAATTATTCTATATAAATTGATTATTTCATTCGGTTAACCAAACTTGATATATTGAATGAAATAGTAAAACTTAATGGATAGGTTATATCAATCAATAAATTCATTCAGTTGTTTTTGGACCCACATATGAAAGTCTAGAACCCAAGTTAAAACTACTACTACAGGGAATCGGCCCTACCTAAGCTTCGTCTAATAAAAAGTAATTTGAGGTGCCTACCTGTTACTTTGATGTTACGTTAATCCTTAATGTGCCAAAAGTACCTACTAAGTTAATAACTTAACTTAAGTTAATGCTGTCTGGCCAGCAAGAAACCTTATACCAAACCAAGTTAATTTACATGATAAAACTAAATTTAATGAGATATAAATTTTTAACCGAATCAAAATCTGTATTAAGTTAATAGGCTATCACAGGTTCTCTGCGGTACTCGGTACTGTAGCCTACCCAAATAAAACAACATTCTGAATCTGACAAAATCTATTCTTGGCGTTTACAGTAACTTAACTTAAGGGCACAAACACTACTTTTAAACCTTAACTGAACTTTCTCTAGACTTACCTATTTCAACCCAAGTTGTGCTAGCTTTGCGATAGGTAGACGTCTTTAGCCTACTAAATACTGGTTAAATTATGATTACTCTTACTACAGTAAGTTATAGTCCCAAGTTAAGTTTATAAACATTCTGCCTTAGGCTAAACTGTAAGTTAACTATAAAATTCAAAGTTCATTGACATAACCTCAAAATTTGTGACATTTACATAAGGGGTAAGGCTTAAGAGGGTTCGGTAGGCCTAGCCTACCTACTAAAAATGGTCAAACATCTGAAATTTTGTTTTTTTGAACTCAATATTAATTTAGATTTTCCTCTACAAGAAAAACACGACAATTTGATTTAAGCATATAGCCTACATATTTCATGAAGAGAAAAACATCTTAATTTGAACGTTCACTCACATTTTCGATTAAATAATCACCTTAAGGTCTTTTTTTTCTGTATTAAACAACGACGCAGTCTATTCCCTCACCAGAGGGTCAACGACGAAGGCTAATGAATATGAATATGAATATTGCAGTCATAAGCAAGCACATGACAACACTAGCGCTCGTAGGACTGATTCGTCGAACTACTTGAGCGACACAGTAGCAGTACGACTGCTACTTTTAATCATTAACTGTCTGGGTTGTAGAAGGCTGACAAAAATGATCTAAGTAAAAAGTTCAGGAAATTACCAATAATTAAAACTATAAAAAAAATATCCTGATACCATGAATGGCTACCTACTAAAGGAAACTGTACAAAACATTTGAAAATTTAAGATGAGTAAGATAGGGCTAACCGACCCTCCCCCCCTTAACATTGGTTATTAAGGTCAAATAACTTAGTGGGAGAATTACAGTCGACATAAGAAATTAAACTTAAAACTAAAATATTTTAACTTAAGCAATAAAACATTTTGAAACCATACATTCATTTTATTAACTTATTAATAATACAATAGCCTAAATTTATTTTATCTAGGCCGTAACTTATTTGCCCCAAATTTGAGTAAGTTAGGGCCTATTTGTAAAAAAGTAAGTTATTTATTTTGAATTCCATTAGTCTAATCATACTAAAAGGACATCTACCGCGATCAATCTTAAGTCGTCGTCTGTATAAGTTTTGTAAGTTAAGCCTATTTATTAATGTTTCTCTCAAAGGTTTCAAGGTTTGTTAGGATAGGTACCAAAGTTTGTTTAGGCTACAACCTCTAACCAATCAAAAATTAATTTATATTCAAAGAAATATTACGAAGCGTTAGGTTATAACAAAGCCATTCAGTCTAGCCTATGTGAAATGTTTGATATCCAACTGCTATCTTGTAAACTAACCATATTTCCAATTAACTTAACTTTTGATGACTAGGCCTAGGCTACTCTGTTTTCGATACCGGTAATCATATTATATAATTATTCTGTAATAGAATAGGCTAACTATAAAGCTTATGGTAACTTAAAGGTTACAGAAAAAGTCAAAAGGTACCAAACCTAACACAATCCATGATAAAACATCAATAAGCCTAAGCAATTAGTGTTTAACATGTTTATTATAATTTGTAATAGATACTTTTTAATTGAAATGGCGACCATACAAAGTAGGTATTTTAAGCCTAGTATGACTGGAGATGAGTGGCACGATCTTGTAGTCTTGTTAGTGACTAAGGCCGACATAGACACAACATTAAATTAAGTAACATATCAAATTAAGTTAGGCTTGATGGAGTCTTATAACAAGGTTCTGCCCAATCTATTTCACACAGTTACGATTTTGCAGATAGGTTGTCAACCTACCCCATTAGAATGTATGTTCCTCTACATCCGATATCCCTCAATGCGACAGTTTATACTTCTGATAATTTTATTTACTCTTAATTAGGCATGTGGAAGTCACCTTAGCCGAACCATTATTCACTCTCAGGAGGAGGCGTTTATACACCTGCCTTAAGGTCCTTGAGATTTTAATAAATGATCCTGGTTAAGGAATCAGCTGAACGTAGTAACAAAGCTGTCAACTCATTCAACATTTGTTTATTAATCTTCACCTTAAAATATGAATACCGTATTGGTATGTACGTTTGCTTTGTAAAACTCTTACCTCTATTCCAAGCATGGAGTGTTGGCACCTTTGGCTAGAGAAAATTTGGAACATTTGGAGAAAAATGGTTTCCCTTGATTAACACAGACGCAAAAGGGACCGAAGTCGAGACTGTCCCAAAAGAATCGAGATGGGTGGCAACACAGATTCTAAAGCGCATCAAATCTTGTCACCTTATTCAAACACAAGTGCACAAGAGACTCAAACAATAATATAACATTGAACAAAAAAAAAAAAAAATGGTAGGCCCTAAATCAGTGGCAACAATTGTAGTTTTAGCTGTAACTTAAGTTATCTGAAATTGTAATGACAGTTGTCTTATCATTGAGAAACTTTAAACATCACCCGCCGCAGCAAACCTGCAGACTTAGCGAATTTCCTTCTACCTGGCTGGAATCCCTCGAAAGTATTCCCTTAAAATTGTCAGATTGTTTTCCTATTTAAATAGGTACTATCAATTATAATGAGTAACTTACTTAGGTTGCTGGTACAGGGAAGACAATAAGGTGTGTTTATTTATTAAAATATTGATAGCTTAGTATGAAGTATTAAAATTTCCAAATTTCATTAAAATATGTCCATAGACAAGAAAACTGTTTATTTATTCTCTATAAAAATAGCATGGTAATTTAAAATTTACACTTTTTTGGAATGCCCCGTAACCGTTAGGCACACAACAACGCTTCAAGATGTTGCGACCCGCTACAACTAAAAAATTGCAACGCGTAAAGTAACGTGATGCAGCTAGGGTAGTTGCGTGCGCAGGTTTACCGAAGGAGGCACTCGTGAAAAGAGAGGACCGGGAACAGTGTAGTGTCGCGTGAGCCTGCAGCTGAACATCTACGTTTCGGATGCAAAACTACCCCCAAGAAAGAGCAACCCACCGGGGGGGGGGGGGAGGATGTAGCGGGCTACAAATACACAAGCGCAACACATATATACTAAATTATTTGTTTTTATGAGCTCTACAAAATGGTTTGGAAAAGAATTGCAAAATGTTATGTTTTTAGGGTGGAAAAATAGGAAAACCCCATTTTTACCCTATAAAACCCCCCATAACCCCCCCCCCCCCCCCCCCCCGTTCACAGAGTCAAATCCTGCTGGTTCGTGAACTCGTTAGAATAGTTGGAGGTTTACACGTTTATAACAAATTTCATGAATAAAGTTCATGGTAAAAGTTAACTTGACATACAATTTTTTTCTTAACTTCCAAAGTCTTTCCTACCAAGGTTTCACAGCCAATATTGTGGGATATTTCATTAGATATTTTTTCAAGGCTTCCCTTACTTTGCTTTAAGTTTATCTATGTTTGAGATCAGCGATAGATACTTGATTT